TTCTGGGAGTTGAAGTCCACTCATCTTAAAGTGGCCAAGTTTGGACAACACTGGCTTAATACAAAAAGAGCAGGACTGTCTAGTTTTAAGCTGTGCCAAAAAAAGGCATTTCAGCCACTGTAGCTTGGATGGCGAATGGCATCAGAAATCTCCTTATCAGCTCTGGGGATTATTAAAGGTGCAGGTCTCCCTCTGCACCTGGGCAGAAAATTGGCACCTGGAGGCCAACAGTAACAGTAGAAGAACGAAGGAGATGGGAACAAGGTTCAAGTGTTCAGTGTTCCAGCTAAGCAAAAAAGAGACAAATAGGTAAATACACGCAATTAACATTTTTGACCGCTAGAGAGCAATGTTACCATGCCATCTACTTTCCTTATGGACCTTTTAGTGCCTTTCTGGTGAGTTTCTGCAATGGAACTGAGATTTGGAGCATTAAAAAAGAACGTGATTCTCCTGGTATGATCTATGGCAGTTTTATCATAGGGGATATGAAGGAGAGATGATAGTGCCTGCCCAAAAGGTAGATGCTTAGCTAGGATAATGATGGCAATGGTGTTTTCTGAAGAAATCCACATATCTTAAAGCTGCTAAGGTTGAGAAACACTGCTTTGATGGCTGTGCGATGTGTGAATACAGCTAGCCGAAGTATGACCCTGAGACGATCAGACGTGAAGGTTGCATTCATACAATATGATTTGACTGATGGTTTAAGAGCTTGTGGCTGCATTCATACAATGTTGTAAGCTTACTCCTTCCCCTCCACAAATTGTGTGAACCACCAAGTTGCATTCAGTGAATAGCAGGAAGCCAGAAAACAGCTTACAATTCAGAAACTGTCTATGTCTGATGACATGAATCACCTTAAGATGGTTCAGTGCAACCCAAAAAGGTAAGATGCCTTACACCTTCCTGCCATCTAAGTCTTTCCAGGTCCTGACACCTGTTGCTTTTCTCTGAGCATGCTAAGATTTCATGCCTGAATTTGTCCTATGAAACAAATCTTCTCCCTGCACCCTTTCTATAAGCCTGCACCCTTGACCCCATGGAATGTGCCAAATATCAGAGGATTATATAGTTTAGTGAGTTTTCTGCCACCTTTACTGTCTTGCTATCTCTCTCTCACACACACAAACACCCCCCCCCCATGTGATAGATTGCAAGGAAGGCTCTCCTTTGGCGCTCTTGTCCTTTAAAGAGCCTCCTGTTTACTGCAGCTGCAGTCAGACAATTCAGACCGTGCTTGCCAACAATGAGCGCATCTTGGCCTCCCTCCGAACCTTTGGAGCTGTTTCTTTTGGCTCAGTGACTAGTTTTCAATCCTTAAAAAAAAAGGGGGGGGAGGGGAGGGGACTTTTCTGGACATCTCTGCCTCTGCGGCCCTACAAAGAAACACAGAGCTATCCATGTAGCCACCATTGTGACCTTTCCTGTGGCATCTTTGCTTCCCTGCAAGAAAGCTCACCCATCTTTCTCTTCTTCCTAGCCCTTCCATTCATCCTCTGTCTGATATTCAACTTCCTCTTATTGTTTTTAATCTCTCTGGCCACCACATTTCCTCCCTGATCCTGGTGGGAAACAGATGGCTCTTACAAGCTGTCCCTCTCTCATCGAGGGCTATCAGATCGCAGCCTCTCTGCCAGAGGTCATCTCTGCAATATGCATCTTCATCTTTTTGGTCCTTCCATGTAAGCAGAGTTCAGATGGCCGAGTTTTCAGGCAGAGCTTAAACGTCATCTCCTCTGAGCAAAGCAGACCTCTCTCCAGGGCTTTGAATGTGCCTGGCTTTATTTAGATTTAGCCTTGCTTGGAACCTAACTTTGAACATGAAAAACCCAAAAGGGCCTTTTCTTCACAACAGTGTCTGCTTCCCAGTAATGCACATCTGAAGTAGGGTGATAGAGACAGGGAAGGGGTGACCTTTTCAAAGAAATCTGTAGCAGGGAGTAAGAAATTGAATGCACACTGGAGATTGGGAATGAAAATACTTAGGTGGCAAGAGTGTCTGCTCCAGAAAGTCCTCAATCTTCAGAAAATCCGTTTTCAGCTCCTTGTTGAACACTAAGAATGGAGGATTGATGCCTGGGGCCAAATCCTTCAGCTCATCAGGTTTCCTAAACAGTAATTACAACAGAGAGGAAGAAAAAAAAATCACGATGCTCCTGGCCTTGATTTTATCCCCCCACCTCACATGCCTTCTTTTTTTCGCTAGATCATCCTTCCTCTTTTGTGGTTTAACTCCTAAGAATATGTAGAGATCCACCTGCAAAGGGTGGATAAAGATCTCAATCGTCAATCTTGAAAAATAGCCAGTTTGTACTAGGTTTGCCTATGTTTTGGTGCACACTTGTACAAATACATCTACAACTGTGTCTGTATTTCCCAGACATACTGCATTTTTTATCCATCTTTTTACAAACATGGGCATCTTTGTGCAGACTTTTTCTTAGCATATCTTGCAGGGTTTCGTAAAAGGGCACATCGCAAATAATAAGCCATTTTCAGATTGTAGATCGGTTTGAGTATGAGACATTAGTTCCGTTCACAATTGAAGGCAAATGCATGAAATGTCTTCTCCGTTCCTCTTACCTTGTCATATCCACAGTTGTGACATTAAATCTGACACCTTTCAGCCATAACACCATAAAGAGGCTTTGACAGAAGGGGCAGTTTCCAATATTCTCCCCATCCAAGCCAGCCTGCCATAGAAACAATGCAAAGTAAGAAAGCAATATATTTGTTTGGGGTGACACTTTCACCCCTGATAAGCAAGTACAATGGGTGAGGATTGTCTAGCTTTCCAGATGCTGGGTCTCCCCTCTCCACGCAGAGGTTAAGCCCCTGCAATTTCAGGCTAGCATTTCTTTTCTGTTTTAATGAACTCAGCAGAGGAATGACACCTGGAGGACACTGCAGCTCCCTCTTCTGTTGAGAATGCTTGGATGTTTGAAACACCGAAAAACCCCAAACCTTCCTGCAGACGTTTCTTCACTAGGCTAGGTAACATCATCAATGCATGGGGGAGTAGAGTTTGCTGTCGTTTATACATGACCACTTGTCCAACCAGCCTTAATTAACTTGATGGAGAGGTGGCGTTTTCTTTAAAAAGGGCAAAAAAACCAAGCAAACTCATCTTCATTCCCTGCTGTGCCTTGAGAGCATCCTACAGATGATGTTACCTAACCTAGCAATGGAGGAAGAGGAACAAGCTCAAAGAACATCAAGAACCCAACAATTCAATCCTGAGTTCCATATTTTCTCCACAATGACAAAACAAAACCCAGATGGGAATTAAAGTACCAGTGGGACCCCATATTGCACACTTCCTTGGTCATTCTGTCAGCCCCTCTAGGTAGACCAGATCAAGAAACAGACATCACGTAGGTCTAAAACTACTTTTATTAGAATGGCTAAAGTAACAGAATCTGGCCAGTCTGAATGTGCTTCCCCTCCTCCCTCTTTTATCTTCATTAAGGAGGCACCTGTCTTGGGCATTTTTCTAAATCTCTTTCTTCATATGGGTTTAAGCCATGTTTAGCTGTTTGTTGCCTTGATAATGGATCTTCTCTCTCTCCTTTAAGGCCATTTTCTTTATCAGTGTTTCTCAACCTTGGCAGCTTAAAGTCACCAAGTTTGAGAAACACTGCTCTATATTTTCTACATATTTGTTGCTGCGTTTCAGGGATGGTAGCAGTAAGAACATCCATGGGCTGACTTGAACCTACTTCTGAGGTTTGGGAGCAAAAATTATGGCAATGTGGAAGGGACTGAAGCTTCATGCTGGCAACTATTTTCTAGCACACAGGGTAGGCTCAAGGATTTCGGAGCTAATGGAGTCACACTGGTAGATGGGAGTTGGCTCACTGCAGAACAGAGCATCGTTCTCCAGCATCATTTCTGTTCCCAGAAATACCTTGGGCCCTGTAAAAAAACAAACAAACCCTGGTCCTGAGAATCCACCCACCTTCCCAGAAACAGAAATCAGATCAACTGTGGGAGCAGGGACCATCTTAGGTATTAGAAAAAAATAGCAAGAGGCAACCCCACCAGTTTCCTGATCCATAAGTAGTTGCTTTGTGATAGTCACACCCATGATGGCAGCCGTTTTATGAATCAGGAAGCCCTCCCCACTCCAAACAGGGCAGCTACTGTGTGACGGTCCCTCCACCCAACAATTCCCAGCCCTCCAAATAACCCCACAGCACCAGAAGATTGTGAAGCTTGGAATGGTGAAGATCAATGGAAGAGGAGAAATGATGGTTGTGTCCTTCACAATGGAAGCACTCCACACAGCCATAAAAAGACTCACTCAGGAGTACATGAAATCTGGGTCTGAAATGACCCAGTTGTACCCTTGAAGGTGAGATCTGGATTAGGGACTTCTCACTCCTCTCTTGCTCCTGCATTGCCTCTCCTTCAGAGGGTTGGGCCAGTCCTGTTTCAGGCCAACCCCTAGTGCCCGAAAAGATCTTTCCTAGCTGGAAGCAAACATGATTGTTTTGTGTTGTTTTCAAAGCAAATAGCACACTGTTTCCGTTTCCTTAGGTGCGGGCTGGATCAGGGGTGAAAGCAATACCGAAAACTCCCAATGTGGCTTGCCAGCCTATTGTAGCCATCTTCATCTTCACAAAGATGTGAAGAAAGGTCTGTGATTGTGAGTTGTTCAGGAAATGAGATAAAGGATTGCTGAGCACAGGCAGTCCTCCCAGTTGGACGTAACACAGCGTGTTGGTGGTGTTGGCTTA